AGGCGTAGAGGAGACAGTAGCCACTCGTATTGGCCGCGTAGATGTTGCATCTGCTGCTGCTGGGCGCTGTGCCTCTCGTAGCCGTCGAAGTGGTCGGCGTCTGGGTCTGCTGCGAGGGTCGCTGTCCGCGATGCGTTCCACCGGCTGACGAATGGCAGCGCGTACCGCAGGGGTGTCCTCTATGGCAGGCGACGGGCGGCAGCTGGATGGCGCGGGGCGCGGCGGGGGAGCTCTCGGAGTGGCCGAGCGCGCGGTGAGCCTTCCGACGACAGGCTTGAGCATGGAACCCGATGGCGGCGGTGGGACATGTCCCAGGACGTGAGCTCGAAGTTTTTGCTGATCATGATATTCATGTTGGCATGCATGATCCAGAGCGCAGTCCCGTAGAGGGCATGTAGTACATGTGGCTGGTATCCAAGGATATACATGATGAGTAAGTTCTGGAATGCATCTGCCTGCTTGCCATGCTCGTCGTAGGTGTCTAACTGCATGATATTGATTTGGATGCGTGGTTTGGCACACAATACATTTGTTGTCGATCTGTAGGGTAGTACATACCGCTGGCATACCGTGTCCTAGGCTCTTAGCTTTAGTTTGGTGTGTGACGAGCTGTTTGAGCGTCCCGAACCGTTTCTGGCATGACTCGATGTTGCACACGAAGGGGCGGTTCGTCTCGTCGCCAGTGTCCGTCTCGTCGTATGTTGCCGCTGAGGGGAGAGAGGAGGTGATCACGCTGGCCTCGGGGGGAGCCCACTGAGTCGTCCAGTAAGAAGCCCTGAGAGCCCGAACGTCACAGTTTAAGAAGGCCTCTCGAACCCACTCGTCATCGCACCGGTTTTTTACAACTCGAGGCTGCCACGCTTCCTGAACGCTGTCGCCGATCGTGTGGGTCGACAGGCACAGCAGATCGTCCGCGAACTGTGTGGCCCACGGGTGCGCGTTCGGGTCTGCGGAGATCTCACCCTGCGAATTGAGGGTTCCAGCGCTGACGGGGCGTTTGCTTATGGCCGCCTGCTGCTCGAACTTGCATCTTCCAAAAAAAGAAGCGAGAAAGTGGCCATGATGCGTGTGCGATCGGATTATGCTCTGCCACCAGCTGAGCCTGCGCACGAGTAGCTCGATGGCAGTCGATGCAACTTGCCATTCAATAAACACTTGGCGGGTAGACATAGACCGATGATTGTTGTGCTCATCCTCCTGATGTGCTGCTCCTCTCATCATTGATCGTAGTTTGCGAGCCAACGAACTGCCGAGTCTGTGGAGCTCTCTAGGGGACAACACGTAGCTTTCGAGGCCAGACCACACCCTCCCCGCGACGTTGGACACGAACGCGAGCCGTTTGGCCTTCCAATGGCCTCCAGAGTACCAGTCGCCGCCCAGGCGGCTCCACCCTATTTTACCTGATTGTATGCGGGCCTCGACTTCACGACGATTGCTGTTGGCAGCATGTACATATCCTCCGAGATGAATCAAGTCCTGGACTGCGTTCCCAGAAATATTCCGTTCGGCCTCCTTCGTAGCCCCATGGGTGCCCAGTGAGACCAGGGTGTCTTGCTTACTGATGTTCTGTGCGTAGCCGCCAGCCTCGAGGGCCTGGGTGAGCGCGTTGTTGTCGACCTTGTCAATCTGCAGCGCCTGGAGGGCCGCGCCGTCAAGCACCAAGAGGATCTTGACTAGATCGTCAATGAAGGCCCCAAGATGCGCATCAAACTCTTCACCAGTAAACGGGTAGTGTACCTGGAACGGGTTTCCCTGGACCTGTGCCATCTCCTGGGGCCACTGCTTCACTAGTGGATAAAATGATTCCATGAAAGCTTCAGGCTCGTTTGAGTCGCCCATCCTCCATCCCGTCCCTGGTCGAAGAGCTATGCTAGCGTCGGACGCCTGCAGAAATACTACTGCCTCGTGTCGGTGCTGCTCAAGGAGGGGATGACAATGCTCATCTTCGCATCGGAGTGTGTGGGCGGCAACCAGTCGCTCGTGGGAGCCTGTCGCGAATGCATTCCGCATGTCGTGCGACTTAGCGAGACAAGACATTCTGGCGGATCTCATCTTCCATATCAATAGTTTAGCAATGAGCATGAGTGATTCGCGTTGGCGGGAATGAATGCCTCCATAAGCCCACGGCGGTGGGTCGAATTGGGTTCCATATTGTATGAGTCCTATTCTGATATATAATCGCCAAAAATGGTCGAAACAGCGAAGTAAACGTACGCATGCATGGATGTCCTGAATCACGTTGCCAGTAGGGCTTTTTCCTTTTTTTCCAATGGCGACCGCCTGGCTGGTGAACGCCTGGGCAGGCAGAGAGCCACATCGGTGGACATGAGCGAGTAATGTGACGAAAGTCTGGATGATGGTGGAGCTGGCGTCGTAGTCGATCACGAGCTTCCTTCGACTAGGTTGGCGGACCTGCTCCGCGAGCGGGTCCGCGCATTGATAGTCGGCGCGTCGCGTCCCATCCCTGCCCGTTGAACGCCAGGGCGCGTCAGATATTGTGGGGCGAGGAGCATGATGGTGAGTTCGATGGGCCATGCCCATGGTGGGTTGTAGCGCCTCCGTTTCTCCCTCCACAGTCGTTTCTGCAGATGGTCGAGCTCCTCCGCTGCCGTCTCAATGTCGTGGAGCTCAGGGGCGCCGATGTGCTCCCCCACTGGTTGAACGTCGCTCGGTTGGGCCAGTAGTCGTGGAATAGCTGTCGGGCCGTCGATATACATGCTGACGTAGGCGGGCGTGGCAGAAAGCCCCCCCTGGACAGCTGGCTGGGTAAGGGCGTCGGCGTACTCGGCTGCAGTGGGACGCGTGGATGGCAGTGAAAGGTATGATCGTCGTCGTGGTCCTGTTCGTCGTCCCGCTCGGATGTACGTGAGATATGCAACTCGAGAGAGGTCGCGAGTGGCCCACGCGTCGCGCATGTCCTGGTCGAGGCTGACTTTCCACCAGTGATCCATCCATCGTTGGTGTGCTCGTAGGCGTCTTTGGATCTCGCGTAGGGTTTCATGATTGAAGGGTGGTCGTCGGGCTCGACAGTCAGCACGTTCTTTAAGCAGTCGGGGTCGTTCAAGTCGAGCTTGTTGGTGCCAGTGTGGTTGTCCTCCTTCCTTTGTGTAACACTTACGGCCGCATTCACGAATGACGTGAGCGATTATGGCGTTGTGTCGGGTCGGAAACTGATCCATCTTGACGACTCGAAAGACCCCCTTGTGTTTGCCGATCTCGGCGTAGACGTCATTGAGAAAAGAAACGCGATGGGCGCCCGTCTGGAGCCCAGCAGCGAGGAGGCCGAAGTCCCATCGAATGCTGTTATTCGTGATATTGACGCTGCTGATAGGCATCTTGATCTGCATAATCATGGGGACGTGGTCGGCAACGTGTAGTAGGCTACGTAGCTTGGTGTGGATCTTCCAATTCAGCTTAACATATTTCACTATCTCCATAAGGTTGTCGTAGCCGATGACGTAGTCGATGCGTGATCTTGCCTTGTTGGGCCCGTAGTAGGTGTTTCCGACATCGATGTGCGTGTTGATGGCCGTCAGCTGGTGCGTCAAGAGCTGGTCGTGAATGAAGCGTCCGAACTCGGTCTCGTCGCTGGCGTGGTATCTGCCGATCGCGTTGTCGGTGTACAGATGTCGTGATCGTCGTCCTAGGCCTTGGTTGAGGTCCGTGAACAAGATAGGCGTGACGCGAGCGGGAGTGGCGGTGTCTGCAGTACCCAGCTCCATAGTCGTCGGCACCCTGCTTTCCAGCGTTGGCGTTGACCTGCTCCGTTCGGCCGTGGTGGGAAATACGCAGCAATGAGTCGAAGACGGAGCTGGCCTCGGTGCAGCTCGACGGCGCCTGCGCGGCTCCGTAGGTCGGGTTGCAGGGGGTGCTGTATTTTGACGATATCTATCTTGCGGAAATGGCGCTTGGATACTGCGATGCTGCATCCAGCCGAGCTGTTTATGTGGGCCCCCCGGCCCCAGCCGAAGTGGACCCAAGTGTGGTGGAGGCTGTCCTCGAGATGGTGCGGGGCGTCGGTGGTGCGTTGTCGTATCTTGGTGCCTACGTACATCATAATCTGAATCGCACGGCATGTGTCGGAGATGTGGTCGAGCCGCCCTGGAACACCCTTAAGCGAGAACGGGTTCCATCCAAGTATCGTGATGGCCTTCGTCGTGGCGTAATGCGGGCGTACGTCGGGGTCAGGGCAGCGGGCTGGAAATTGATGATCAGGTCGTTCGTCGCCAGGGTCCCGGTCGTGTCGAAACTCAAGTACAGGTGGCAATTCAAGGTCTGCATGCACTTGTTCCGCTGGTGGCAATTCAGGGTCAGCGTGGTGTAGTCCTGCACGTGCTGGCCCTCTATGTCCGTGCTGATGTTGAAATTGATGATCAGCGTCTAGCAATTCAGGGTCAGCATGATGTAATCCTGCATGTGCTGGTCCTCTGTGTTCGCGGTGATGTTGAACTTGTTGCTCAGCGTCCAGTTGTTCTTCGCGTGCTGGGTGTTGAGGTGATGGTGATGCTGGGGTCGAGCTGCAGCTTGGGACTCGTGCGTGTAGTGGGGGATATCGGTCCCGTACTGCAGCGTCGGCATCATTGTCTGGCTGGTGGTCAGGTGCTCTTTCCATGCGTTCGTCCATATTCATGATGTCAGCGAGCGAGTCCTGCGTGCTCAGCAGGTGCGCGGTGCCCGCGCTCTGGAGCACAACCTGGGCGGCATGGCGTTGTGCGGGGTGTCGTCTGTGTGGCCCCCTGCCTTTCGGGCTAGGCAGGAGGGCGGTGGCTGGAGGCCGCTGCTCCTTCGATGGCCTGAGCCTCGGCGGCCTTTGGTGATAATGATGATGATGATGATGATGATGATGATGATGATGCTGATGCTGATGCTGATGCTGATGCTGATGCTGACGCTGCTGCTGACACCGACAACGACAACGCCGCCGCTGACGGCGACGACGGCGACGAAGACGCCGACGCCGCGGCCGCCGCCGACGACGACGACGACGCCGCCCCGGGCTCCTGCCGCAGCCTGGCGTTCTCGGCCTCCAGGTCCCGCGGCCCGGCGTCGGCGGCCTCGGGCCGGCTCCGCACGAGGAGGAGCAGGATCAGCAGGCGGAGGAGCGCGAGGAGGCCAGGAGGAGGAGGCCAGGAGAAGGAGGAGGAGGAGGAGGAGGAGGAGGAGGAGGGATAAGGAGGAGGAGCAGGAGCAGGAGCCCGAAGGGGAGGAGGAAGAGGAAAGGGAGGAGGAGGGATGAGGAGGAAGAGGAGGAGGAGGAGGAGGAGGAGGAGGAGGAGGAGGAGGAAGAGGAGGAGGAGGAGAAGGAAGAGGATGAGGACGAGGACGACGAGGAGCACGAGGAGCGAATCAAGCCTGAGTTAGCTTCGGTCTGTTAGCCGCGCCGCGGCGCCGCCGCGTGCCCCGCTCCGCCACCCAGGTGGTGGGGGAGCTTGGAGACGTGGCGGGCGGCGGAGACGGCGATGCAGGTGTCGTGCGGGTGCTTGGTGAAACCGGCCTTGATGGTGTGGTAGGTTCCAGTCGCCACTGCAAGCCGCGCGGCTGAGTTGGCGATGCCGTTCTCGCCGCCGTGCTCCCGTGTCCAGGGTGGGCAGCGCGAGTCGCACCGTGTGCTCGCTACCGCGCGCCCCACGGGGGGCCGCGAGGTGGTGCAGCATCTTGAGGCAGACGAGGTAGTGCTGGATAGCGTCGTCGTCGGCACAGCCGAAGACGCAGGAGCGGCGCTGTGGGACGACATGCATCCGCGCAATTGTCGCCCAAGCCCCAGCGAGAGCTCTCATCACGGCCCGCACGCGAGGGGGCGCGAGCGTTGCCAGGCGCATGCGGAGGCGAAGCCAGCGATCAGGAATATCGCCAGGGAGCTGCTATAGTTGCACGAGACCTGGGGCGTCCATTTCAACACCAGGGCCATGACCATCATCACCATCACGCAGTAGCGGGTCATCTTCGTCAGGAGTACGGTCACGATGACTGGTGACCCAACGGCCACGATCACGGTGCTCAGCCGTTGCATGCCGGCAGGGTGCTGCGCTGCTTGCTGCTGGGCACGACGTAGATCATCACCCACATGTCCAAGGGGAGCGAGTTCAAGAGCGTGCCTGCCCGCGTTGGAGGTGTTCCACGCGTCGCGGAAGATCTCCATGGCAACCCGTGCGTGCAGGACAACCGTCTGTAATAGCGGGTCGAAGATGGAGTCCTGCAAAACGTGAGAGACGTTCTCGACGCACCAGGCCACCCAGCCCGCCTCAGTATTGATGGTGTGATCTTGGAGAAGAACATCAGGCAGCCAGGAAGCTGCCCAATGTGCTGCTCGATGTTCAAGACATTAAGGTGTTAGCACCGCTCGGTGACTCGCTGGGTCATCATGAAGAGCGGGGCGAGGATGCGAAAGAAATCAGGCGGCGCATCGTTTCCCGATCGTGATGTGGAAGGTGTTATGATGAAGCCTTTCTCGTAGAGCAAGTTGGTACGCTCTCTGAGGGTGTCGCGCGCTGGATCCTCGTCGCTGTCACCGACGTTGCTCTGAAGAAGTGCAGCCATACCACGGTGTGCAACATACTTGTGGGCAGCCGTGCGAGCCTGCCGCGCACGGACGGGGGATCCGACAGAACGAACGAGACTCTTGTAGTGGGACCCCCACCCTGTACGAAGACGATGGAGCTGGAGATCCCTGCGAAGCGCTGCGCGATGGACGTCTTGTTCAACCAGGAGGGTGAGCACCAGTTGCCTTTCACGGCGTTCACAGTGTTCAGGTGGTCGAGGGGGCTCTCGCATAGCTTGTTGTCCCAGGTGATCCAGTTCGGGACGGTCTTGTGGGCGGTGCGCCACATCGACGCGGCCATCAGCGTCTGGCGCAGAATGAGGAGTACGAGGAAAAGGAGAAGGAGGAGGAGGACGTGCAGGAGGAGCACGAAGAGGAGCACGAGGAAGAGCACGAGGAGGAGCACGAGGAAGAGCACGAGGAGCAGAAGGAGGCGTAAAAGGAGGAAAAGGGGAGAAGGAGTAGGAGGAGGAGGAGATGGGGGAGGAGGAGGAGGAGGAGGAGGAGGACGAGGATAATGAGTAGAAGGGGGAGCACGAGGATGATCTCGAGGAGGGGGAGGAGAATGAGAAGGAGGAGGAGGAGGAGGAGGAGAAGGAGGAGAAGGAGAAGGAGGAGGACGACGCCTCACCAGCCTCTGCGTGCGCCTGCGGCGTGCCCAGGAGAAGAGGGGGCAGAAGGAGCAGGGGAAGGAGCAGGAGGAGGGGGAAGAGGAGGAGCAGGAGGAGCAGAAGAAGGAGCAGAAGGAGGAGGAGCAGGAGGAGGAGCAGGAGGAGGAGGAGCAGGAGAAGCAGGAGGAAAATGAGGAGAAGAAGGAGGAGGACGACGACGAGAGGGGGGAGGCGCAGTGGCGGGAGGAGAACGAGGGGGGGGCAGGAGGGTGGAGGAGGAGGTTGGAGGAGGAGGAGGAGGAGGAGGAGGAGGAGGAGGAGGAGGAGAGGGAGGAGGAGGAGTTCGGCCAGACCTGAGACAGAACAACAACCTTCAAGAATATTAGACCTTCTGCCAGCCACAAACTGAATGAAGAGCATTCGAGGGCACCCTCCTCCAGGATGCACACAACAACGTCGAACAGGCACGAATAACATTAGGGCACCCTCCGCACACCGAACTCGATCTTATACCTCGGTCCGACCGTAGAAGCAGGAACATGGGGGACGGGGAGGGAGGGGGAGGAAGAGTCGACGGCGCCAGATGTCACACCAGAACAGCCACCAGCACAAGCGTCCAGCCATGACCAGCCCAGACCAGCCGAGTCAAGTCCTGCCCAGTCTGGTCCCAGACTGGTCAGTCCAAGTCTCTCCCGGCCAGGCCAGTCTAAATCCAGCGAGCCCAGCAATCCCAGCCCAGTCCAGCCGAGCCCAGTCGGCCCAGTCGGCCAGGCCAAGCCGGATCCCAGCCGATCCCCATCCAGTGATCCGAGTTCGGTCCCAGCCAGTCTGATCCACGATGCCAGTCCAGTCCAGCCCTGTCCAAGGCAGACAGCCCATTCGAGTCCAAACCAACCGTGGCCAACCCTATCCAGTCCACCCTAGTTTCCTCATGACGAGCAAATCCGCCGACCTTTTGGCGTGTGAGAGACGCTGTCGTCGTCCTTTGTCGTCGTTGTGGTCAGTCCCAAGGAAGTTGAGGAACGAACAGAAGAAAGGAACGTCGTACTTAGAGAAGAACATTCCCTTCCCTACTTCCTGTCCCTGACAGGGGGTGGGGGGGGGGAGGGCGGGGGAGGGGTTGGGGTGGGGGGGGCGGTCCTGGGTCAGATTACCGCCCTGGTCGCCCCTGTACCCTCCCTGGTTCTCCTTGTGCACAGGGGGGACATGGGGGAGACGGAGGGACGGAGTCCCCCCTGTGCGCCAGGGGGACAGGGGTGGTGTTCCCTCTGTGGGCAGAGGGAACCCCCGCCTCCCCCCAATGGGCAAGAGGACAAAGCAACTACCCCCTCCGGGAGGTGTCGCCAGCGGGGGTCCACGGGGAGGTGCCGCCTTCAGGGTCAGCGGCATCGGCCGCAAGGCCTTCACAACATTGTTTTTTGCATTTCCAGCACCAGGAGCTGTCAGGGAAGCCTCGGTCGCTGGATCTGCCCAGATGTCACAACCCTGTGCTGCCATGACGCCGTTACGCAGGCGATGTCGAGCACATCTTCCTCACGAGCAAACGTCAGTGTGTCCTATGCTGGGCCGACGTTGGTAGACAATCCGCAACACAAGTCGTCTAAGAACTTCACTTCGAACCGCGAAATGCTTCAATCCAACTCGTCGACACAACATAGCGCAACCACAACGATAAGGAAGATGAGCTGGGAGTGGGCACATGCCCGGAACTATAATAAAGTAGGGAAAACCCTGACAATCCAATCACTCAATGGCGTACTCATTCCACCCAAGACGATTGCAGCACCCAGATGGGTGAAATCTCATCTGGGTGCGCGTAGCGCACTAATACCATACAAACCCGAGCAGCTTAGTAAGAGACATCAACTTCTACGTCTGGCAACTCATAGCGAGACGAGGTCTGAATTTGGATCACAAAAATGGGACTCCGCTGGAACCCCCAATGGTTAAGGAAATGGCGGCACCAACATATATTTCCCAACCATCCTGTGGTGTTGGGTCCTCGTTTTGAAGAGACGTCGCCCCGCGTTCCTCCTTCCTCCTCCTTCCTCCTCCTCCCCTTCCTCCCCCCTCCTCCCCCTCCCACACCCATTCTGGCACACCCCTCACACGTTTCGTGGCCCCATAGGGAGCTCCACCGAAGGCCCCAGTGGCTGCGCCCGCATGCGGTTCCACCCCCCATTCTGGCACACCCCTCACACGTTTCGTGGCCCCATAGGGAGCTCCACCGAAGGCCCCAGTGGCTGCGCCCGCATGCGGTTCCACCCCCCATTCTGGCACACCCCTCACACGTTTCGTGGCCCCATAGGGAGCTCCACCGAAGGCCCCAGTGGCTGCGCCCGCATGCGGTTCCACCCCCCATTCTGGCACACCCCATCACACGTTTCGTGGCCCCATAGGGAGCTCCACCGAAGGCCCCAGTGGCTGCGCCCGCATGCGGTTCCACCCCCCATTCTGGCACACCCCTCACACGTTTCGTGGCCCCATAGGGAGCTCCACCGAAGGCCCCAGTGACTGCGCCCGCATGCGGTTCCACCCCCCATTCTGGCACACCCCTCACACGTTTCGTGGCCCCATAGGGAGCTCCACCGAAGGCCCCAGTGGCTGCGCCCGCATGCGGTTCCACCCCCCATTCTGGCACACCCCTCACACGTTCGTGGCCCCATAGGGAGCTCCACCGAAGGCCCCAGTGGCTGCGCCCGCATGCGGTTCCACCCCCCATTCTGGCACACCCCTCACACGTTTCGTGGCCCCATAGGGAGCTCCACCGAAGGCCCCAGTGGCTGCGCCCGCATGCGGTTCCACCCCCCATTCTGGCACACCCCTCACACTTTCGTGGCCCATAGGGAGCTCCACCGAAGGCCCAGTGCTGCGCCGCATGCGGTTCACCCCCCATTCTGGCCAC